ATTGTCAAAATGGAGATGAAATCAACAGGGATAAAATAATGATATATAAAATTATAAACTTCCATTTCTCCCTAGAAGTCTATACATTATTTCTATCCTATTCAAGGAAGAGCCTCTGCATATCTGGGTGCATGAATTTATAATGGTATTTGATGACTGTTAGATCATCACCATGTATCTCTTAATATGTATTCTATTGTCTTACGTTTGCTTTGTATTTCCAATAAAACTGATCATTTGCATTTTGTTCTGAACATATTGCAACTGAGAATAAGTGCAACTGCTAAGTACTAAAGGTTTTGATTACTATTCCATGGCTCTGTTAGTATAATGTTTAAGCTAATCAGCCATTATTCTGGCAACAGTTCCTTCTTAGTGGGTTCTAGAAACAAACAATTATGATAACTGCTTTGAAACCTGCTGTTTTAGGGAATACAATGCTCACTTATTTCTGGCAGGGTATGCATGTATCCTAAAGCCATTGTCCCAGGTGAGGTTTGTTGCATCAGTAGTCAAACAGGCAGCAGTGGGTAAGGCTTTGACAATGCAGTCAACCAACAGGGAAAAGGTTTGTTCATTGGCTACCAGGACTCTACAGTAAAGTCTGTAATGGACAGCTTCAATTTTTCAGTTTTCCCTGTTCTTTATAAACTTCCCTGTGGTTTCTAGTTAAACAACATTTGGTTTATTTACAGTGACACATATAAATTGCATCCAATCCTTAGTCTGCTTTTCGCAGTAGAAGGTTGTATTTCTCAGCTCTTATTTTCCTTTGTTTAAGACACAAATTATGTGTAACCCCCCCCCCCGCCAAAAATAAATATTAATGCTTTCTATAACGCTGCAGTACAGATCTCCAGTCACCTCTAACAGTATTTGAGCAGCATTCTGACCTAATAAATAATATACATAAACTAGTTTCCACAATGTGTAGAGTTTCAGGTCATTCTGTTCTAGAATTCACTTGAGAACAATAACTGTTCTAGGGGATAGAGGTATAACTCAGTCTTGGAATTTTTGTCAGTTGGTTAGCTTATCTCACAACCTATCTCTAGAAATTCTTGTGGCCTAGGCAAAATGTCTTTCCTCCCTCAGAATAGTCTCACCCACTTATCATTTAAATCTTTATTTTTATTATTCTATTGTTCTTGTTCTTGTTCATTGCCTAGAGTTCTAGTTTTTAAACCTGCTGGTACTTGCAATCTATAGATTCGTGAAAAATACAGGCCATGACAACTAAATAATTACAACCTCCTATATCAAAAACATCAGCTCTAATTATCTTCTAGGTTCTATCTGGCATTGTTGTAATTATCACATTTTTCTTCTGAGGAGAAAGTAATTTTTGTGGGAAAAAAACAAAACTTACTATAATCTGTTCAAGATTTTCACTCATCTATGGCCAAAAAGAGATATTCTTGCCCATTCTGTGCATTCGGAGCTGCCTAAATGATTTTTTTCAGTACTTCTTGTTGCATCTCAGCTGGAATAACAACTCTGTTACCATAGAGAAATAGTCCCTGTGATACCATAAATCTTCTCTCTTCAAAGAAACAGTAATAGATTGAGTGAGGTAGGCAAGATGTTTGCATGTGTGACAGCCAACTAATGTGTATAAAGTTGAACATTGTTTATAGTCCTGGATAAGAAGCAATAATGTGTGTACACACTGAAAAAATCTATTAAGAACATGGTAAAGCCTACAATATTTTTTGATGGTTAGTCCCTTTCCACTTCTTCTAAAGCAGTGTTTTTCAAACTTTCCACAATCATAGGTTACTAAATAAAACTTTAACAAATGTGTGACTATCCAATTAAACTAACATCTCCACCCTTCACGTTTATTTTTAAAAGCATTAAAATTCCTGTTTGTTTTCCTTATAGCAAATAATGTAACTATAGTAAACGACAATTATTTGTGCATGTCTTCCCATACCATTTCATTTCAAAAGGTCTTTTTAATATTTCTTAGAAAAAACACATTTATTTAACAATTGTGGTAGGTTGTGGATAAATAAATAGGGTCTGATCTAACCAGCTGATTGGTGATGAATGGAAAGAAAAGCAGCTAAGATACTGAGCAGGCACTGAGCAATTAATGTAGGGAGACTCCAGTTCTAAATTTTGGTGGACTCAGAGGACTACCAGATGCCAGTCTGAAACTTTCAAATTGAATGTTTTGCTTGGAAAGGCTGGTCTGTATATTGTGGTTACTATTCCAGTCCATTAAGATACTTTGAGAATTGTTCACACACTGCAATATACTAAGAGTTTGGACATATTATATATACGGATCTCAGACTATTCTGAAATTGTGAACTATTGGCATCAACATCCCTTCATGATCCTGAAGCAAAACTCTACCTTTTTTATACTTGCTACTATCAGTGGTTACAACAGTATACTGTATCACTGACATCACTGAATGTCAGCACCAGGGTTTCAGTTGGTGGTTTGATAAGTCTTGAAAAACTTTTATTTAAAAAAAGTTTTTTTAAAAAAACACAAGATCTCTATCAGTTCATAAAATAAAGTTGGTGCTACTCCAAGCCCAAAAAATACCTTGGTCAAATATAGGTTTGAGAAAGTTATTTTTCAAAATAAGCTCCACTGCGAATGGTTCTGGACTCATTCCACATCCATTTATGGGATGCCAAGATAGTTGAACTCTTGGAAGTAAAAGTCTTTTCCACAGCAAATAGATCTTGAGGCTTGATACCAAACTTTTTTTCCTACTTGGGTTTTCCATCTGTATCACTTCAATAGGTTCCTTTGGATGACCTTACTATGGGTGGAGTTGTCCCATTAAGGTTCTCTTGTCTTAAAACTGGCCGTTGATTAAATTTGTTATCATTCACATAGCACCTCCAAAATTTGAAGCCAACAGATAAGTAACATCTGGGACAAAATCTTATCCAAAATATTCAGAACTAATCAGTTCCTGATTTCTTTTTCTTCATACACTTATAAAAGCCTCAATAGTCCCTAGACTTTTACATCCTTGGATGGTAACAAGCAATATCATAGATCACATTTCCTAACAGCAAAATATTTACAAATAGTTTCCCAAACTACAGAATTATATATCTTTATGTAATGCTCTGATTGTTGCCATAACATCTTCTCCTAAAAAATTTCTGTTAGCTTGCCTACTCCAAGCTATGCTCAAATATTTGTCATTAGTTTGTAAACGCACATGTAAAAGAAAAAACATGGTATTCACTGATTTCTGTATACACTGAAAATCTTAATATTTCAGTAAAAAATCCCTTCTCCGTTTCTTCTGAACCTGAGGATGTTTTAACTGTAATTCAATGCTTATGAGTTTTTGATAAATTTATCTCTTGCTAAATTATAATTACTACTTCCAATATAATCCCAAAATATATAAGCCTGTGGAATACATTTCACATAACAGTGAAATGATTCTTTAGACCAAGTGTGAATTATGCATGTATCTTCCTAAACTAACAAGGATGTGAATATGAAGGATTTCTGCCAAAAAAATGCAGCCTCCACTGAAATTAATGGAGTAGCATATGCAATCTGGGTTTTGTTGGACTCACAACTCCTGCTCAGACAGCAGGTAGCTTCTATGGTTCGGAGAACCTTTGCACAACTTTGTGTTATGTGCCAGTTGTGCCCATTCCTAGATTAGGAGGCCCTGCTCATAGTCACTCTTACCCTGGTCAACTCTTGAATTAATAAAATGCATGGTGCTGTCCTTAGTGAGCATCCAAATGCTGCAACTAGCATAAAATGTGGCAGTGTTGGCATTATGTGTACTCTTTAATCAGTGCATATTACACCTTTGTTCTCATATTGGATTATCTGTCATTATGCTTCCTGGTTCAGTTCAAGATGCTGGTAATATATGGCTTTATATGATGTGGGACCGATTTATTTGAGCAATTGCTCTCTCCATTTACATTTACCCATTCCATCAAGATTGCCAGGAGAAGCATGTTATGGATCCTGTCTATGTAACACTGGTGGGGTGGGGGATGCAGGAAGTGAGTATTTTCTTCAACGGTGCTCATGTAAGATATCATCCCCTTGGCCTTAGATTGGTCCCTGTCCCAACCTTTTTTACACTATTGTGAGATATAATGATGGATTTTTCCACTGATTATGGTTATTTTTGTGCAAAGCAGATATTATTTTTATATGCTTGTTTAACTTGATCAGATTGTTGTTTTTAATGGCTGTGAGCCACCCAGAATTATTTAGGTAAGATGTGAGTTCATTCAAATTGAATAAAGAAAACAAAATAACTCATCAAAAATATCCAGGAACATCTGTAACTACCTAAATACTTATGCATTGTCCAATATTTTAAAAATGGAATTTAAAAACCTAAAAATTCTGTTTCTTTGTAATAAAGATATAGAACTTTCATACCATTCTAGTAATGTAGGCTTTCCTACAAATGATAAATGTATTGTGGTATTTCACATATATAAGATTCATGCTGAATACTAATCAGCTAAATAAAAACTTAATGGTTGGTAAAACAGCTCTTTAAACTGTACATTCCAGATTAATCAGATTATACAAAAGAACCAAGAGCTATGCATAAAAGAAGTACTGGTAACTATTATGGATGTTCACTCCTTTTCTTTAGCGATTTAATCAGAAAAATAGCTCTCAGTTTTATCCAGTACTTGAAATATATATAAAAGTTGTAAAACGAAGGTTATAGATGTAAAGCTTTACACTAAAGAGTTCTATTCACACTATCAGTAGGTTGAAATCCTGAATAGTGAATTAACTTCACAATGATAATGGGAGAATTTCACAATGTCCTGAAGTTGCTCCATGATAATTGAACCATCACTGGACTTGACTGATTTTATTGATTCATTCCTGTAACACGGCTTTGCCATGGACAGATGCATTATATTATGCTCTGCTATAAACAGATGCATATTCTTTACATGTAAAATAACTAAAAATGTAATTTATGAACAAATGTATGTTTTGTCAATTTTCTCACTTACCTCATTTGCTGGAATATTGGCAAAAGGCTTGATGATAGCAGCCAGTGGAATCTGAGCCTGTTTTGCGAGGTCTGAGGTTGAAGGAAAGCAATAAGAGGTACATCGAATATAACGAGGACTGGAATTACCTGAATAATTTCAAACAGTGACAATGTTAGATGATAAAAACAGATACATTTGGATCTTAAAATCAGATAATATTCCTTCAGAAAGAATGAAAAATAAATATATTTTGACTGAGTTCAACCTAATGATAAAGCCACTTAGGTTCTGTTCCTTTCATTGAAATCTCTAGTGCTTATCTACAAAAACAAAAAATCCTAATAGGGTGAAACTCAGAACTATGTAAGTAAAAATTCCTTTTTTTCAGTGTTGTTTCTCCCCCTTTCCAATCCTGGTACAGTTTATCCCAATAAGCTACAGAATTTTTTTCAGTTCCACAGAGAAGATTTTGTACACTCATAGGAAAGAGGAATTGCCCAAGAGCTCCTTTCCAAGGTAGAAGTAACCAAGAAAATATTAAGTTTTGTACTAAGAAGTTTACAAAAATATTAAATCCCTAAAGGAATGTAAAAAAAATGAATTGTCTCCCATTAAAGCTTAGTTTTAACCAAGTTACTATGCAACTACACAAGTTATTTCCAGAAGAAGCTACATTAATTTCAGTGTGGCAGAATTCTATGAGTTCACCAATAAAAAAAACACTTTAACACATTGTCATTTTGACTTCTAGATCAATTTAACAAATATTAGAGAAATTAAATATGAATATTCAAATCAATACAAATTATAATTGAAGTTCACCGATATTTACCTTGATCTTGGATCAAACAATCAGTTGTAACAAGAGGAGGGACTTGACCTCTGATATTAGTAGCATAGGTCTGACCTCCTCTGGAAACTTTATCATTTTCAATTACTTGAATCTTATGGATAAAAGTAAATAAACAATATAAGAATTGGAAGCAGACTTTATAATTTTTTAAAATTAATGTTTACAGACATGTTATCATAGTTCAAAAATCAAAGCAGGTTTTGTAGATCAAGAAAGCAATAGGTTTTGATGTTGCTTGGAAGAAATCTTAGAATACAATTTCAAAAAAAATGAAGAACCTTATATGCCTCAAAAATGTCTTTAAGCATTAGAATAGTACTATAATTGATTCAAACTCTCTCCCATCTTTCACCCATGATACTAACATTCAAGCATTTATTCCAGAACGGTTTTTGTTGTTCTCTGCTCTACAAAGTATGGACAGTCCAAAGAATGGATTTTCTGCAGCTAATCACAAAATTACAATAACCAAAATAAAATGACCGGATAAATGACACACAAAAAAAGTTTAACACAAGCTAAAAAAGGAAAGTTGGAACTTTGTTTTTTAAAAAGAAAGAATAATAAGAATTACATTTCCACGTTTATAATGAAATAAACCAAGAAAATTTCTCTAGATTAATTCAAACATCCCATATGAACATTTTAAGTAAGCGAGAGAATGCCAATTAGAACAAATGTCTTATCTCAGAAGCAAAGAAAACTAGTAAAAATGATTGCTGCTTTGTTTTTCATCCTGAAAGTAAATTGGAATTATTCCAGAGAAATTTAGCAACATTTTTTGTCGTCTGCCTGCATAGTTGTTGGAATTATTTATTTATTTATTTATTAAATTACCCCCTGTGCTTTTGATGGTAAGTATCAGCAATCAAATTACATCTGTAGTCCTAAGATTTAAAAAAAAAAAACCAAGGAAGCAAGAGCTTGTTGAGCAGACTATTCAAAATAATATGGGATTTTGTTTTCAGTTACTTTTTTTTTTTACTTTAAGCACTTAAATGAAAATCCCAGGCTCAGGAGATTTGGGGCATGATACAGCTTGCATGCCACATCCAGGGAACCAAAAGGATGAAATTCTTACTCACTGGGCTTGGAATGGAATCTGGATCAAGTTTTCTTTGCTGTGGTCCAGCTAATGGTGCTGGACCTGAGGGGAGGCCACCTGGATAAGACAGTTGTGCCCCTGCCATTGGAGGACCATAATTTCCTGCAAAAAAAAAGGTGAAAATGTAATAATCTCACCAATGATTACAACTTTATTTTATAACCCGTGTTTTCTATCTGTTTTTTTTTTAAAGAAGTGAAAAAGCTATTCCCTGCTTAAAATCTATACTCCAAACAGGACATAGCTATTTTCTCTCTCATATGATGGGGAACGAAAAAGAGTGATCTCTATAAATAAAGATATGTTGGGAATATTTCATGGAAAATGGTGAAAAACAAAGGAGAGAATGGTTTAACATATGTAAAATAAAATGCTTTCCAAATATTTCTATTGTTTTCTTTCGAAACGGTGAGGAGTATATGTTATCCAAATATGAAGACGTGGGGTAATCCTGCTGACTATTGAATTTTCTATTTCAAAGTTGTTTTCTCTCCTTTGTCCTGGTGAGTGTGTTTGCTGAACATGCATGCTGTCTATCAGTAAACTATTCCTCCTATGGACATCTGATTTAGATAATCCAGAAAACAAAGGTCATTTTCTTAGTGTATGATCAGCAATATTCTGGTAACTGGCCAACTGTTATCTCCCTAACAATTATTTTTACTGTAATACTGTTAAAAATATTATTTTAACCAGTTTATATGGGGGTTCATCTTGCAAAAGCAACTCTAGGTGGGTCATGTTGACTTAAAAGCTCAAATACAGTAATTGGTAACACATGTAATTGATGGCATTCAAAGACAGTATAAATTATCTGCAGATAACAAATCTACATCACAGACCCAATTTAAACATTTCTACACCTTCTGTGATGGTCCAGTTAGGCATTGGTTACATATACCTATTTTTAAAATTCTTCTTCTGCCAGGCTTAGAAAAAGGTGAAAAAATCATGTCCTATTTTGCATCACTCAAGCATTTTGTCTCTGGGTTCAGATACCGATAATCAGAGTTGGAAGGGACCTTGTAGGTCATCTAATCCAACCCCCCATTTAAATCTTGTCTATTCTTAATTACAGCATTGGATGCTTCTCTCATTTCTCATTACATGCTACTCCCTTCTCTATCTTCAAAACAGAAATTACAGCCTTCTAATCCTATGTCGCTTAGGAGAGATGAACAGTGTAGAAATTTAATAATAAATGAAATGAAATGAAATGTACTATAGGTACATCTATACTTACCATACTGAGAAGGAAACCCAGGACCTGAAGGTTCACCTGCAAATTGCTGTGGCAAGTTGGTGTTCAATGGATTTGGGCCAGGGATTCCCTCCTGCCTGGCCATTGAAGGAGGTAAAGATGGAGTGCAGTGACTATTCAAGTTATTTGGTAGAGAAACAGGAGGACTTGTTGGCAAAGCCATTTGATGTGGCTGAAGTGGTGGACCTTGCAAATGTGATGGTAGGCCTGAAGGCCCAGAAGAAGGTGAATTCTGAGCATTACTGGGACCTATGCAAGAATACAATTATGATTTATGCGTCTAAAACTCAAAATTGTCTTGTAATCACATCTGAGTAATTTGTCTTCTAGACATTTACAATAAATATTTTTTGTTAATGAATATGAGATTACAATGAATTACATACATGTTTAATTATATTTAAAGTCTGCACAGAGGCATGGTGCACCTCAAGTAAGACTAGAGTCCTGGTGATTTCATGGATATATTTATATAGTACTATTGGCAACAACAAAGAAGTGGTTTGCCACTGCTTTCTTCTGGTTTTATTTTTCATCCGTAGTCTAGATTGGTGATGGCTCATCTTTTCAGCACTGGGTGCCCAAAGTGTGCATGCAGCCCCAAAATGCAAAGCATGCCTCCGCACATGTGCCCTGCCCCCCGCACAGCATGTGTGTCCTCCGCACACGTGTCCCATCCCCCTGTATGCACCCCACCACCACCCATGCATATTTGGCAGAGCTGAGAAGACCAGCTGGCTAAACAGATAATCACAGTTGGAAGGGACCTTATAGGTCATCTAGTCCAACCCACCACCCAAGCGGGAGACCCTATACCATTTCTGACAAATGGCAGTCCAATCTCTTCTTGAAAGTCTCAAGAGATGGCACACCCACAACTTCCAAGGGCAAGCTGTTCCATTGGTTGATTGTTCTGTCAGGAAGTTTCTCCTTATTTCCAGGTTAAATCTCTCCTTGTTCAGTGTCCATTATTCCTTGTCTGGCCTACAGGTGATTTAGAAAATAGCTTGACCCCTTCCTCTCTCTGGCAGCCCCTCAAATATTGGAAGACTGCTATCATGTCTCCCCTGGTCCTTCTCTTTACTAGACTAGCCATGCCCAGTTCCTGTAGCGGTTCTTCAGATTGAATTAACTTTGTTTCTAGCTAATTCAATTTGGATCGAATCACTGAATCTCTATGGAATTCTATGGAATTTAAATTAGTGTTCTACCAGGGCTGGGATTCTACCAGTTCTCACCTATTCACTAGAACTGGTTGTTAACATTCTAAGCAGTTCAGAGAACTGGTTGTTAGAAGAAATTACTGGCCTAATCCTGTAAGGAAGGCAGGAAGGAAACATTCTGGTGTTGCTTACAGAAACTGCCTCTCCATTAACTCTTATTACATTCTTAGCAGGACTAGACTTCCTGTCTCTGGAGCATCTCTGGAGTTTTATTTCCTCCTTTGCTGGTACTTTGCTTGTGTGGAATAACCATTCAAAGTTACAATGGCACTAAAAAAAGTGACTTATGACCATTTTTCACACTTATGGCTGTAGCAGCATCCCCACGGTCTTGAGAGACCAGGCAAGAAGATGTGTGCCTCGATGTGAGTGATATTGAGTTGGCCACATCCAGCCAATAACATGACCCCCAAGCCATGTCCACCCAGTTACATGACCACCAAGCCACGCCCACCAACTAAGCCATGCCCACAGAACCGGTTGTTAAAAAATTTGAATCCCACCCCTGGTTTCTAAGCATTAAGTGTAGAAACACTAAACATTATTTAAATCCAATTCAATTTAAAACAAACCAATAGTTAAAATTCTAATCTTTCGGTGATTTGCCAAGTTGATGTTTTAGCAATTTATAAAGGAATAGATAGATTATGGATGCCTATAATGAAATATGATTATCCTTCACTGAAATGCTAACATAGAACTTTTTATATTTGTATAAATATGAATAAATATATCTAATATATATTCTTCTTAAAAGATTTTATTTTATTTTGACTTTCTGCCTTTATTTTTTCTCCTTTTTGTTTTTATACTGAATCACAAAAAGTAAAAAAGAAAAGAAAAAACTTTATGCATGAATTATGCAATTCATACCATAATTACTTATCTGCATGTTGCCAAGCTGATTTGTCAGCTGTACTGCAGGCAGAGGGGGGCTGTTAAGACCAGAATGTAAAGAATGATGGTTGGAAGGATAAGAAGCTGGAGGACCTGGAAATCTGAAAACAAAAAATAACATTATGGAAACTCAGGAAATCACCATACAGTATATTATTTTGCTCATAAAACATATCAGCCAAGATGCACATGAATCACTCCTACAGACTCTGCAGAGAAAATACTGCACTTAAAATGTCCAGGAAACTAAAAAGAGGCTTTGTCTGTAGCAGGTTTATTCATCACATGCTGTACCACAACTTTGTATTTAATTATTATTTATAGGAGAACAATTCCAGATGAGCCATCCTCAGATATATTATTTGTCCCTTGTATTTTTTTTCAGGCACTTTCATAATAAGAGGTTTTCTTCCACTTCTACTAATAACAGTTTATCATTATGAATAAACCCATAAATACTATGGTTAGCTTTCACTGTAGCTTATTGAAAAAAAATATAGCCAGGTTGTTTCAATAAAGCACTTAACCAGTTTTTAAAAATTATTTATTACTAAACTGCAGCTAATCAAATGTCGAAGTTTCCAATTTCTTCTTCATATGACTGCTCAGCAGTAATAGAGTGTAAGTCCTAAATTGACCAAGGCTCATTCTCCGGATAATAAAATACAGTTTATGAAGACACAGACACTTTCAATTGTTAGAATCGTTTTGCACAACTGAAACTTCTCTTCTAAAAAAGGGTTTCCTTTGTGACATTATGCTTTACAAACACAATAGAGATGAGCTGAGATGATTAGAAGTAATTTTATTAGGAGACTAAATAGTTGGAAGCAGTCTTACCAAAATTCATTTCCAACCTAAACAGCTGGGAAAAGAATCCTTGGAAATTGACCTTTTTTCATATTGCAAAAAACTTAACTTGAAATTGGTGCTTTGCAATTAAATGTAATCTAACACAAATGATCTCAGTTTGCAAAAAGTTAATATTCCCTAGGAAAAACAACCATGTACTTACAAATAGCATTATGGATAATTCTGTATTTAAGGGGTGTTTTTTCCTTATTCTTTCTACTCCTTCATTTTGGTCTTTTTCCTTTGCAATATTTTTTCTAATTTATAATGGCAACACATAACCGTGTGTATACAGAAGGCATTAGAGTGTGCAAAGTGAGAACTATTCTACACAAGTCAGGCACAATTTGGCTGGTTTGAGACTGGACTAAACCCTAAACTATGGTTTACAAACCATAATGACAGGATTTATAGAATTTGCTAAACTAAGACCAAACATTTACATTGTAACTTTGCATGATGCAGAAGTCCAAAATCTGAGTAATCATGAAGATTACTTAGTAACATTGTGCTTAGTGTGGATTTTACTTAGTCTAAAAATCTTTCCTTCTCTCTTTTAATCCATATTAGCAAACATGTTTTATTAAATTCTCTTAATAAAGAGAATTTTCTCTCCCTTTCTCTTCAAATCTTGAAACAAAAATAAATGAATTAATTAATAAAGAAATACAACATATAAACTAAGCTATTTTTTCTTAAAACTTAAACAAAGCAAAACTTAATAGGGTTATAGAAGAATGATTTCAACTGGTAAGCAGCTCAATCTGAATAATATGCCCTTATTCAAAAATTATTTCTCAAAGTCATGCATAAGTAACTTAACAACTTCTACAAAATATGACATTATTAATTCCTGCATACACTGCTTATTTAATGACCAAGAAACAAAAAGGAACTGAAATAGATTAAATCTCATCTCATGGCGCACCGACCTTCAGCTCTGATCTTTTAAGTTAGACATAAAGGTCAAAGGCGATTTTCTGGCCACAGAATATGTTCTGCATTATGGATGCTCAAAACATATGGATTGAATTAGGCCTTGGATTCTAATTATAATAACTGCTTGATACAATAGTAAAAGAATTAGGCTTTTCCTTTTGGTTAATCCAATTAACCAAATTATTTATCAATATTTTAGAACTCAGTACAAAAATGATTTATTTTTGAAAAAGATTATGTTACTTTGTGTCCTTGGCATATGCAATATAATAAAAATCTCATTTTAGTAAACTGATCAGGGAGGACAGTGTCTGATTTTTCCCAAAGTCCAGTAAATCAACAGGTATGTCAGTATAGTGATGCAGATTACATTATCTGCCTTACGTTGTCATTATGCAAATGGTATCAATTGGCACAAATGTCATATGTATATTGACGTTACCATACATGTCAGATACATAATATATTATACACACAACATGAATTCTAACACAATATGATTGTTATATTCAAATTTCATTGCATAAAAGTTTGTAAAATCAAAGTCTAGTGATAGCCAATATAAGTATGCTTCCAAATGACAGAAAGTAATGACTCCATTGTGTTCTCATCAGTCAGATATTACTTCAAGTATTCTGTTCTATTTGGGTCATCGTAAGACTGAGATAAACTGGTGTAAACTCTTAAAACAGTAATAAGATGGTGAAAAAGTTATCCAGCAAATCCAATGAGAAAATATTGACAGAGTTGTTTATATTTAGCCTTGAGAAGTGAAGTACTAGAACAAATACGACAGTAGTCTTCTAATAGGGGAAGCCATATCATACAATACAAATCAAAGACTTATACTCTGTTGTGCCTGAATTTGGAATAATGTTTTTAAGCAGCTTCCAGATGAATATTAGGAAAAACTTCATAACAATTAGGGCAGTTTTTTTAGTGGAATCAATCATTAAGGGAGGTGGTTCCTCTATATGTTGAACCAGGGATGGATTACCCTTTCGGGGCACTGCTTTAAGTTGGAATTCTGCACTGAGCATAGGTTAGTTCCTTCCAGTATTATGATTCCATGCTGCTTATACAGCATATGATCCATAGAACTTCTGTCAGACTAAGGAGCTTGTAAAATTGTGCATACTGCCAAAGGAAAGCAGATGCTGCTTACATCATATCATGGACTGAGCACGGCCTACTGAATTTACAAAACAAGTTCCTGATAAATATTAACAAAATGTTTTCAGGAATGGATGTATCATAGAAGTCCATTTTTTTAAAAGTATTTTTAGATCTACCGTGCAAAAACACAAAGCAACCACAAGTCCTTTGTAGGCTTAGTGTACCCTCCTCTGCAGCCCACCTACCCCCAAATTTTCTGAGCATGTATGTGTTTGCACAAAAGACATTTCTGGAAGGACAGAAATGTCCCTTCTGAGCCTGCTTCATGTCGCATGAGCAAAGAATTTCATCAAAGGCTCTGCGCAGTCCTTAAAAGCATAAAAAATATTCCTAATGTTTATGGAGATTCTAGGTCATTCAGGTCATGACTGTCCCAAAGGTGCTTTTTCAAGAGGCAAGTGGACTTTCTTGTTTTTCTTTGAAGATGTTTTGCTGCTCATCCAAGAAACTTCTTCAGTACTGAACTGAAGAAATTTCTTGGATGAGAAGCAAAACGTCTTTAAAGAAAAACAAGAAAGTCCATTTGCCTCTTGAAAAAGCACCTTTGGGAACATTCCTAATGTTTTATTCTGCTTTGTTTCAAATCACCTGTTTGCCTGTGGAGCTGCTGCAGTGCTGGGTCCATTCTGGAAATTACTCTGCTTAGGTGAGTGGAGGTTCTGAGGTGGAGATCCCATGACAGGAGGAACTCCAAAAGGCACATTTGTTTTCAATATACCTAAAGTAAAAGTAAACAAACTGATAACAATGGAAAACCATTGCATTTAAAGGAGTACACTATAAAAGTCAAAGTGAAAATAATGGATGTCAAAGAAATACATTAATAAACTGAATTAAATTACAAATTATTCAGTGTCTTCCATTTATATCAGTATCAGGAAAGAAGAGAAAACAATAAACTTTTTAAAAGTTAACTTTATAGCTATACTTAAAAGGAAGAAAGACCTCAGTGAAAGAAGTTCATAAGTATTGTTTTTTTTCCCAGGCTTTAAATCCAGAATCACATACAGCCCGAGTCCACAGACCATGATAATTTGTTCTAATTTTAGTTAGTTTTATGATAATGAACCCCCTTTTTCCCAACTCATTACATCCAGAATTCCCCTGAAACATTGTCCTGGCTGAGAATGTGAAAAATACAACCCATTATTGTGAGAAAGAACCAGAACACAACAGACCATAAAGTAAACATGAAGTAACAATACCTGACTGAGATGCAAAAGGTACTGTATTTGGATCATTATAATGTCCATGCAGAGATGAAGAAACTGTTTGTCCGAAGCCAGAAGAAAATCCACCCATTCCTGGCTGGGCCTGGGAATATGGAGGTGCTGCAACATATCCTTGGTGATTCATTTCAGCAGTATTTTTTCCTTATAAAAATGTGAATAAATAGTAAAATTATAATTTTCATGCACTAAAAATGTGAATTGAATTATTATTATACTATATATTATTATATTAATATATAATATATATTATATATTACTATTATATTATGGAAGGGCTCTGATCCTGTTTCTTACTATTAAGAAACAGAATCAGGTTCAAATCAAGTTCTTTTTAGATCTGCTGTTTTTGACCACAGCATCTCTACAGGCTTTCAACCAATTCCCAGAATACTGGCTAAGGACTTCTGGGAGTTGAAGTTCAAACACCTTAAAGTTGTGAACACTAAGAAACACTGATATTCAGCAACAAGAAAACAAAGCATCTTAATTTTATTTAAGGTGAATGCTTATTTGTACTTTTCCTGGTATTTATCAATTTCATCCCTAATTTTAGTGTTTCTTGCTTTTAAAATATGAATGCTCAGAGTTGGGTAGCTTTTAAATAAATCCTCCTAATTCCATGGGGGGTGGAGCCCCGAATTATTTAGCAGTCAGTTTCTTAGTGTTCCTGCTCTACAAGAATTAGCTAGCTCACTAGCTGTGAAAGGGTCTGCCTCCATTCTCTATAAGGTTATTGGTGCACAGCATATTTCCATATTTCTGCACATCATATTCTTTTAATTTGGGGAATGCCCAAATACAGTTGGGTGAAGGGATAAACCAGCCCAGAGAAGATTAAAAAAACCAAAAAATGAGAATTCCTCAAATCCTGCTGCAGAGCCCTCACTGGTAGGTATTTGCCCTGGCTGCTTGGAAAAGGATGGCATCAAAGCCAGAAAAACACAGCAATCATTTTGCCTAAGCAATGAGTGGTGCAAAATAATTCCCAACCAAGCCTTGGAATAAAAAAAAAATAGAACTGGTAAGAATTGGTAAAGGAAAAAACAAATGTTATGAATTTTGTGCCAACTCAAAGGTAGCATTACTTCAACTCATAGAGAAGCGAAGACCCTAATTTGAAGGCCCCCAGAGTTGCTTATGAAGGGGGCAGGGGCCTCTAAATCTTTTAAATAAATAAATAAGTCTCTGACATGGGTAAAATTCACATGTATATTTCTCCTATTTGTACAAACAAAATATCAACTTCTGCAGTTCTATGGTTCACTACTTGCAAGAAAATCCTATTTACTTGCATTACATTACTTACTCATTAGAAGAACCATATAAGATTTGATGTGTTAAAATTTATAATTGATGAGGATGTTATTTAAAGTGGCAATTACAGTTGAAAAGAATAATAGGATTCACATTTAAGAACATGCTCTTTGAAAGAATGAAGTTTTCAATTCATAAGAGTTCCCAAATTTCTGTGCAGTGTGTTTTTCTGTTTATTAGATTTATAATATCCAAATCAGACAATGTGACTTTGGGTATCATACAACAATAACCACAACAAAAACTACTACGCATATCTATCTATCAGTAACATTAAAAGCTATGTGATATAAAAATGTAAAATACAAAACATAAACTATCACCAAGCACCCCCCAAAAAAGAGGATTCCACTAATGCCTGGGGGAAAAGCCAAGTCTTAATGGTTTTCCTAAAGTCAAGCAGAAGCAGAAGCCTTATCATACGGTAGATGGAGGTAGGTTTCATTCCAGAGGACAGAAGCAACTTCAGAAAAAGCACACTTCCTAGGTTCCAGAAGACGACAAGATTTAAAGAAGCCTGGACCATGTCGCCCTGTGGGAGCATGTGGGACAGGCAGATGTTCTTGGAAGAAAGTGTCCTTCAACAAAAAAACCCAGCCCTGTGCCATGTAAAGCATTAAAGGTAATAAGCAGCACCTTGAATCACATCCAGAAGACTAACGGAAACCAATGCATTCTGGACCAACACTATAGCAGTATTACAGAGCATATTGAGGTGCATCCATACCATTGTATTCTGGACCAACTAAACCTTTCCTATACTCTCTAAGGGCAACCCTACCTTGAGTGTGTTGCAGTGGTACAATTAGGACATGACTAGGTGTGAGCAACCATGAGCTGCTTCTTGTATGGGAATAATTATTGCACAAGAAACAGTTCTAAAGAGCCCCTCCGGCTGTAGCTGCCAACTGTTCTTCACGCAAAAGGTGTGAGTCCAGGAGAGACAACTAGAATGAAGGGGGAAAGACAAGAATTTGTATCTATCACTCTACCTTCATAAATGCAAATTTAGATTCTATAAAAGTTTACCAAGAAACAAGCTCCACAAATGTCAAAAAGGCTAATGCCTTTAATGCTAAGTAAATATGTACAAAAATGCAGTCAAAGGAGCAGCTGTCTAAAATTTCTCCCAGTCACTTCTCAATTTTTCCACTGCCAAGTTGAAACAACAGGAGAAAACAACAGGACAAAGTGAGAGAAAAAATTACAGTAGACCTGTAAACAGGTTCAGTTAAAATAATTATAAATCTTTATTTCTTTACCACTAATTCGTATGTGCAAAACTAGGAGAGGCTCACACAAACCTTGCTCTCTTCTCTGACATACCACTGTGGGTCCTATATCAGCATGACTAACAAAATGGTACATTTGTTGTTTGCAATAACTGGATGTACCAAATAAAGTTATCAAATTTCTGGGAAATGAATTTATGCAAAAATATGAAATGCATAAAAGGTATATAAAAATCAAATAAATTGTATATCTTGTACATCATAAGAACAAACACAGATTGCACACACACATACAACGTAAGCTTTGTTGATTACAACAACATTTATACAGACGGAAAGGTATCCATGACTACTTACTCACAACTTACTAAAACTGTAGACACTGAAAGAAATGATAACCAATCAGCAGTATTCTTAATTATGAATGCCAACGTGTACATCTGATCTGTATCATGCTATTTCTTTTCATATTTTGAAGACACATATTTTTTGTAATTTAAATTAGAACTTTTAAAATTGTGATTTTTCAATTGCCATCCATGCACATAAAATGAGAAAACTATTTTTGGTGAGGTGGCACTTGTTAATTAAACACATTCTATGAAAGGATCAGATTGCTGCCAGTGATTTCCCTCTCCTCCCCCCACAAAGAGACACATACTTCCTTTTTCTTTCGTGGATAGAAACGTGGCAGTTTAGAGCTGTAGTCATCTCAACAGGTGCATTTAACTGCTTGATATTAAAGCCATGCTGATTGTCAGCATTCTAGCCAGTTACAATTGATAGTATTCTGAGCCAATAAAACAACTTCCTGCACAGTTGAGAGAGAAAAAAAATGTGCCACGTCAGAACATCTTACGTAAACCAAAGGCCAAGAAGGAAATGCAAACATAACTGTGCTTAAATGACTTCAATCTACTTTCACTTTCATGATAAACAAAGTAACCTAATAAATGTATCTCCCTTCCTTCTTCTCTTCCCTTCCAACAATGTGTATCAACAAGATGCAAATTAAAACCTATTTTATAAAGCATCTCAATACTAAGAAGGTAATCCGTCAATCATACTTATGTAGTAGTTTACATATTAGTTTGAAAACATCCCTGCAATTAGACTTTCCAAAAAGAGGTCAAAGAAAACCATTTTTAGGTAAGACGCAAAAAAAAGTAATTCAGATTTTAAGGCTTAGTTGTATAGCTATTAATTACTACCTACATAGAAAATGATCCAAACAACAAACACTTTCTTAACTAAGTCAGCAGAATGTCTTCCTATTTTTCCTTTTTATTCTATTATATAGCCAAATGGGATGGTTGATGCTAGGTAACAACAGATAGCAGGAGGAGCTTAATTTCTTTAATACAGGGGATGACTTCCTCCTCTGTTTTGCTATAACCTCTTTGGGTCCCATTATGCAGTACTCTTGACTTCTCTCGCTTTCTTATTTGCTGCATGATATATGACAGAACTGGTTTTGAAAATCCAGTTGGAGTCATAGTCCCTAAGTCTCGTTTGGAAGTGATCTCTGGTTTGTGACAGCTTGGCCAATCCAAACACCCCAGCAAATAACAATCGCTGCAATCAGGAAACATTGGTATGAAATTGAAGACTGTGAACATGGAGCATGGTCCAGGATGCCAACCAAAATTTGATTGAAAGTCAGACTACATGTTTAAGGCTCCCCCATTAATGATGATGAGAATCATAATTAACAGTAAACATGCACATTTTATGTACCTAGCTATTAAAAACCAGAGAAGATATAAAATAAAAATAATCACTACATTACACTGAATCAACAAAGTCAATGCTTTTGTAATGATAGCAGATAAAACAGTATTGAAATGTCAAGTTGCCATATTCCTATAACTGAGATAATATGTTACGATTGTCCCATGTATTCTTTAATATATGAAGACATAAGAGCTTAATCACAATCTACTCAGCTCATAATTAAAGGGTGACAATTGGGATGCAAGTTAAGGACAAAAGATGTATGCCACCACTGCAGCACATATGTCAAAATAACTATTTCCCCATTCTTGTCATACAATATGGCAGGGTCACTCTCCCTGCCCCCACCCCCCACCACAACACACTGTGGATTCAGGTAGCTTGTGTGTAGTGACGATTCATCCCAATCCAAAAATCAATGCCAATATCTTTAATATATAGTATTTACAGAAAACCGTTTTAAAAATTACTATTTCAACATTAAGTGTGAAAACCTTGCACTGCATGCAATCAGCCCATTGTTCACAGTTTTTGAACATGTTACAAATCCTTCAGTCTTGCAATAAAATTAAGGTTAGTTGCACCCAAGCTGGGAGGATGGGGCTTGACTGGGCTTTTTAATTGTTTTGAATCTAACTTTCTTAAAAGAATTAAACATATTTAGAACCTGAACAGCTTCAGGATAACTGAGGAGGTCGCAGACTAAATCACCGGATGCCCTTTAAAGCAAATCCAGCTAGTCCTCCTAAGGATAGACAGATTGGCCCCTGCATTAGCAATGTTGCCTATGAGACATCCAATTTGACATCTGCATCTCTTGCTCCGAGATAAATCTTCTCTTCCTCCTCTTCTATGGAAATTCAAAAGTTTTTTTCCAGCCCCAGATGCCCCTTGGTTCAAAAGGATGCTACCATCCCTGACTGCCCTACCTAACAAATACAGACGACGTTCAGAGGCGCTCTCGTGTCCAGACGGCACGTCCCAAAACGCTTCTAATTTCTCTTGCCCCCCCCCCCCCGCCCCCCAATATCTACCGAAGGTCGTTCCTCTTACCTGGCCGTCCCCAGCTTTCAGTTCGCTACCTCGCCCTGCTCTAAGCCGGTCCCGCAGACGCTTGTCAGAGAGCCGCGCAACAAGCCGGCTGCCTTCAGGCTCTCCCTCCCCGGGAGCGCTCACAGAACTGCCACGTGTAACAGCGCTCGCGGGAGCGCGCGCTGAGGCCACAGCTGGCCTCGAAGCGCGCATTGCCGCCGCCACGCAAGCTGTGCTCTGCTCTAAGCTGCCAGCCAGGCTGCGAGCATGCTCCCCCCACCAAAAAAAAAAAAAAAAAAAACCCGAAAGGAAGGAGAGCATGCGTACTGCCTGCAGTGAAGCATTTTGCCCTTAGGTTGCGTTCCAGTAATCGCATCTTGTAAAAATAGCATGCAAAAGAGAAAAAGGTAACGCACCTAGGTTTTAATAAGGAATGAAAGATTGACAGGGAAATTTAATTCCGCCATTTGAAGAGAGCAACGGTGGTTGTCTTCATAGTACCTGTTTAACCCACCATGGTTTATCCAATTTTTACGGATTTACATGTCACATGGAACTATATCTTAATTATACAGTGAACTTGATCAATGTGATCTGTTAAAATGTGGTTGAATGTTTTCCGTTTCAATGGAGTGAACAAATGTACCATCCTTTAGAGAGCATTCAATTTACAAACATTGGGCCAAATATTGTCTGCCTTTTTAATAAATAATAAACAAATAATTCCCTCAATCCTGTTCAACTATTACAAAGTCTGCACTGCTATTACTGTTAAATCTTGTCATCACTCCTTATCACTCATCCCTCCCACTTGTGACTGTATGACTAACTTTGTCACTTGTATCCTTACAATTTATATTGACTGTATCCCAGTATGATTGATTGCTTATTGTACCCTATAACTATCCTTAAGTGTCGTACCTTATGATTCTCAACTCCTGATGAATGTATCTTTTCCTTTATGTATACTGAGAGTATTTACATCAAGACAAATTCCTTGTGTGGCCAATCACACTTGGCCAATAAAGAATTCTGTTCTATTCTATTCTATTCTATTCTATTCTATTCTATTCTATTCTATTCTACTAATGTATATCTTTGGAGGTTGCTTTGGAGGAGAAATACTTGTTGAATAAGAATACAGCTAATGAATGGAAATGGGACAATTGGTACCAGAAAAAGATACAAACGCTTAGAATTACTGTCTTACTACACAAACAAGTAAAATAATACTTGGTCCAATCATATAAAATTATTCTGGTATAGTTTAAAAACAAAATTCAATTCAATTAAAGCCACAAATACTTCAACTGTTCTAATTATTTGATAGTCTGCAGCTTTCATCGATTGGTCGCAAGCTGAATTGGATACACTAGACAAAATTAGAAATTAAGGTCCATCAATCATATGTTTGTTTGTTTTTCTACCAAAGATCTTCTTTGCTGGAAGAAAGATGGGATACAATTTCTTCAAGTCAAGCAAGCAAGAGGTATAGTCTGAATGATTACATTAATAGCATCAAAATAATTCATATTTGTACAATGATATTAGGAAGATGTTCATGATATTATATTTCAAACACCTATCATAACCAACAACTAAGACACAAGCAGACATTTATATTGCTGTTTATGATGTGTGAATTTGGCCACACTTCATCTGACAATAAAATCAGGTGTGACTTCCTTTTAGTTGTTAAACGTCTGTTATGTGGTTCCCAGAAAGCTCTTATATCTCCCATTACTCATGGGTATGGGTTTCATTTGATGTGGGACTTATTTCTTTCTTGACACCTAATGATAATGTGATTTGATAGGTTTTGGCTTAGTGCACTGCTTAAACCTAGCCAATTCTGTCTGACTCAACAAAGCACATTAACCAAACTAATTCAGTATAATATGTGAACTCAGTCTATTTCTACTTGTCTTATTGTTTTGTTTGTTCAATGTTTTAAGACCTATCCTGAAAATTAGACTTAGCATGTTTTTATGTGTGCCTAATATAAGCCCTATCTCCAAATTAAACCCCACTTAAGAGCCTGCACAGCCGGCCACCTGCCCATTCTGTCTGGTTGTTTGTAGTGCTGCAATCACAAAGCAAGGGGAAGGGTGAAGCTGCCCCACATGCCCTGCGCAGGCTTACCTCAAGGCCCCCACAGCCAGGCTATTCATGACCTGACATCTGCCTTATGGCAGCAGCACTGGCAGCCAGGTGGCAGCCATGCAACAGGAGCCCACGTGGCTGCTGGCCCACTTCTTCTGCTTGCTCTTGGCTGCAATGGAGCAGGAGGCTGAGTGGTGTAAGGTGAGGCAGGTGTCAGAGTGTAGATGGCCTGACTGCAAGGGTCTTGAGGTAAGTCAGTGTGGGGCTCATGGACAGGTCCATCCCCCTCCTCAAGGCGGCAGCACTGACATGCTGCATGGCATCCTGCACCAGCAGGAGCAAGCAGAAGTGGGCCTCCCATACATGGGGAAAAATAAGACACCCCCCAAAATAATAAGCCCTAGTGTTTCTTATGGGACCTAAAAGAAAATAAAACCCAGTCTTATTTTCAGGGAAACATGAGTTATATAGGTTTCTCATAAAAACAGATGTTCTGGGATTCCCATTTTTTCTGTGCATATTCCGCAACTTGATGCAATTGACACAGTCAAAGGCTTTTCTACAATCAATGAAGCATATTATTTTGGCTTTCTTAATTATCCAGCATGCATCTGCTATGTCTATGTTCCTCTGTCTTTTCTAAAGCCAGATGAAACATCTGGCATCTCTTTTTCCATGTAGGACTCTAAACTGTATTGGATAGGCTAAATATTATTTTGCTAGCATTTGAAATTAAGGATATTTTATGGTAATTTGCACAATATGTTAAGACTCTCTGTCTTTTTTTAAAAAATTGGTAATGTAGGTTGACCTCTTCTAATCTGCTGATCACTGTGTGTTTCTCCAGATTTGCTGACTAACTTGTTTAAAATCTCTACTGGTGTTTTTCTCTGTTGCTTGTCATATTTCAAGGGGCATTCCTTCAATTCCTGTAGTTTTTGACTTGGTAATGACCAGAAAGCTAGTTTAATTTAGTACTAGAGGTTCTTTTAAAGTAGGAAATACCTTCTAAGATAAGATGTTGACGTTATGTTCAGTGTTTTGGTTTTCTCCCATTTTACATATATAAAGAGCAGGAAGCAGCAGCTGTCTAGAATCATAGAGTTGAAAGAAATCATTTATTTATTTTTATTTATTTATTTATTTTGATTTGTCAATCATTTACAAGATAATAGGTATAAGTATATACATAGTTATAAATGCATGAAATGGGTGCACGTAAGAAAAATAAAAGAAACAATAAGACAGCAATGGTAGGCACGTTGGTGCGCTTATGCACGACCCCTACAGACCTCTTAGGAAAGGGGTGCGGTCAATAGTAGACAGTCTAAGGTTAAAGTTTTTGGGGTTTGGGGAAGAAACCACAGAGTCAGGTAGAATATTCCAGACATTGACCACTCTGTTGCTGAAATCATATTTCCTGCAATCAAGTTTGGTGTGGTTAACCTTGAGTTTGTTTCTGTTGTGTGCTCTTGTGTTGTTATGGTTGAAGCTGAAGTATTCATTGACAGGTAAGTCATTGCAATGTATGATTTTATATACCATACTTAGATCAGAACGAAGATGGTATAATTCAAGGTTTTCTAGGTCTAGAATTTCAAGTCTGGTGGCATAAGGTATTCTACAACGAGTAGAGGAGTGGAGAACTCTTCTTGTGAAATATTTCTGGACTTTCTTCTTGGATAAAAAGCAAAATGTCTTCAAAAGAAAAACCAAAGTCCTGTTGTCTCCTGAAAAAGCATCTTTGTATATAGTAATATGTCCACCTTTTCAAATTACATATGTTCTTTTTAAAATAAATATTTTTTAAAAGATCTTAATTTTCCAGCCTGTTGTTTTCCACCTTTTCTTTCATTCAGTTTGTTTACAGTTGTCGTTTTAGCATCTCTTTCTCTTCTTCCTTGTCATCCCTCCACACCATTTTTTAATTTATTCACCTTGACCTCCATTTTAAATTCTTTTTAGCATTACATAACAGAATTTCAAAATTCCTGGTACTTTTACTTCCTCAATAAAGTCTTTGCTATTGATTATTATCAAATCAACTGATTCCCTTGTTACTTCCTTTTTCTTCCAAAGGAAAAACTTGTCAGTAACATAAGTCAAGAATTTCCTGGCATGAACATGCCTGGCCGTTTGTCTTCCAACAAATATTGAAGTAATTCAACTCTCCAAAAACAAATGTCCATTACTATGTTTAAAAAACAAAACAAAATGTGCACGATGACGTCACAGTACATGTATTTGCATCAGGTAGGAATATGGACTTGCCACAAGAATTAAGGAATGAGTATAAATTCCTGTCCATTAATCTTAATTTCAATTTTGAGGTTCCCCCAGATTTTATTTCTTTGTTAAAAAATTCTGAACCAAAGTTTGCAGCATAATTCACCATTGCTACTTCTCTCTTGTGCTGCTGTGAATTGCAGATCTGAATGGCCACAGGTATGATCTTCAGTCATTTTAATCATTGCCTCCTTTGATATGAAACTGATCTTCCTCCATTTGCATTAAAATGTAAAAGTTAAGTCTTGCTGTTTGCTCTTTAATTTTTAATTTTTTTTTGAAGGAAGCAAATACAAATTGTAGCTTTTACACATAACGATGGGAAAAAGAACACATATGCCCAATTCATGCAACATATTGCTTTGGTTTTGATTTGCTGCATTGAATTGAGTTTTATAAAACATGAGTTATTGCTTAGTTCATAGTTCAAAACCAGCCAATACTTGAGCATATCATGGCATAACACGTGGGGTGTGAATCCAGGCACTGGAAAATTTATGCCAGAAAGATCCAGGCATATGTCAAAAACTCAGGCTATCATTTGATAATTGTAAACATCCTATCACAGCAGGTCTGTGGGTAAGTCTCAGTGGGATGCTTCATGCTGGTATCTGATGAAGAACTGGGGAGGAAGACAACGTTTTTTCTCTTCCCCTCCTACACTTTGTTTGGGTTATGAGAACACAGAACTTGTTGCAACTATAGCTTAACAAGTCTGGTAACACTTACAAAAGTAAACTCTCTGTCCTAAATCATTGCAGGGAGATTAACAAGTCCTTTGACCTGGCTGTTTTGATTTAGCTGTCATAGGCAAATGCTCTTGGATTTAAATATAGCCCTTTTTTAC